CCAGGCTGCGGCGCAGCTCTTCCACGTTCTGGTCGATCTTGACCTTGAGCTCGTCGGCATAGGGTGTGAGGCGCCCCTTGAGCTCCTCCACGTTCTGGTCGACCTTGGCCTTGAACTCGTCGGCGTAGGGCGTCAGCGAGGCCTTCAGGTTGTCGGTGTTCTCGCGCAGCACCCTCTCCATGCGCTGCGCGTAGGGCGTCAGCTGGCGCCGCAGCTGCTCCGCCTGCGCGCTGACCTGGGTGCGCAGCTCATCCGCGTGCGGCCCCAGGCGCTGCTGCAGCTCGCGCACTCTGTCCCCGATCATCTGGCTCACCTCCTGCGCGTGCGGCAGCAGCCGGGCCCGCAGCTCCTCCAGCTCCTTCTGAATCTCCTCCTTCAGCTTCTCCGAGTCCTTGGTCAGGCGTTCATGCAGCTCCGTGGCGAAGGGCACCAGCTTCTTCTGCAGGTCACTCGCGTACGTGTTCATGTCCTCAAGTTTGTCCTGGAAGAGGGCACTGCAGGGAAGGGCACAAGGAGGCCTCCATTACGATTGTCATTTGCTTGGCAGGACCTCGCCTGCTTATATACCCCTCACCTTATACACACCTGCCTGGAACAGGTGAGTATTCACGCTTTTTCCGCCTTGCGGCCCTCCCTAAGGTGGATCACGATTTGAGAGAATGAATGTAGTGGACCGAGTTATTACACTGTGTCTCTGGATCTCCGAGATTGTCTCAGTATGTCCCCATCATGTGACCTCGAGCAGTTTGCTTTCCCTCCTTGTCTGTAAAGGACAGGATTGGACTTGGAGGTTCTTCCCAGCTCAGGTGTGCTGTGACAGAGGATCACTTTATGTAATGACAGTGAGTTGTGTTCTCAGCGTCTGCCATGGTCCTCCAGCGGTGCAAGGTGCTGATTTCCTTGCATGGGCCCGAGGCTTCCCCGACATTCCCACCTCCCTTTCCTTGACTTCGGTGGGGCCTGTCCTTCTGGAATGTATTAGAACCCAGCTCGCATGACATTTCTTTCCCTCTGTTTCTTCTATGACCCTCAACAACAGGATGTGGCCATTGTCAAACTCTAGAATGTTAAAGCAGGAAGACAGCTTGGGGATTATTCGGTGCAACCCCCCTGTTTATGTATGTGGACCCTGGGTGCAGTGACCTCAGGGTCACCTAGTGAGCTAGTGGCAGGGCAGTGGGTATCCTGAGCTTGGGTCTCCTGCCTCTAAGTCTAGCCCTTGCCAATGCATTGCTTGGCCTTTAAAAACACCCTGCACCACCGCCACCACCAGCTGTGCCACCTCTTACTTGAGCTGCTGGGTGAGTTCAGACTTCTGGAGCTGTTCCACGGCCTCCTTGGCATTGTTGCCCAGCTGGCTGAAGTAGTCCCATACCACAGTGGCCACCTGGTCAGCACTGACCTCAGCCCGGGCACCTGGACAGGTGACAGAGAACAATTCCTGAGGACTCATCTCCTTCCTGGCCCCTCTGCTCCAGCTCTGAGCTGCAGACTGGATGTTGGAGGAGCCCAACCCACCAGTTTCCCTGTCTGGGTTTAGGCCGTCAGAAGCCAGAGGGTCATGTGAAACTGGCATAGCACCAATGCCAGTGGGCCGACTGTGGGAATGGGCCAGCTCTCTCATGAGCCAGTTGGCAACTGGGCAGCCCCCCAAGTCCAGCGGAGGCCAACAGGCACTCAAAACTGTCCCCTTTACCTTGGCCCAGTCTCTCTGTCCTGCCCCACTCGGTCCAGCAACCTGAGAGCCCCATCCAAAGACAGCTTCTACTCACTGGTGACAGCCACTAGGGCCAGGGTCAGGACCACAGCCTTCGGGAACATCCTGGGCTCCTTGCTGGGCTGGAGGAGTCTCGTGGTGCACTGGATCCTTCCTTCCTGGAATCAGAGGGAGCCAGAGAAGAGGTCCTCGGGCAGCTCACCTGCGCTGCTGTGTGGACTGACTGCAGTCAGAGCCGGACATTTAAACTCCCACCTGGCTGCCCCCCCCCCGGCCTCCCTCCCCAGTGTGACTCCACGCTGGAAGGTGACACATTCCCAGGAGGCCTCTTGGACTTTAGTGACCCTAAGACTACGTGGAAGCTGACAGCAGACTGGGGCTTAGGCAGCGGTCAGAAGCGGCTGTTCCTGGTTTGTGCCCCACCCAGTGTGGAGGGGGCGGGGGAGCCCAGAGCTGGGGGAGGAACACGGCCTAGGGAGCCCAGGCCTGATGCGCAGGGGCCCCTCTGGCAGCTCTGCGTCTGTGCCAGGCTTGAGGGGGCAAAGTCCATGTCTCCTCTGTCTGCCCCATTGGAGAACACCCCCATCCCCACATCTGCCATCAACCCTGACTCCATCTCAGAGCACCAGACACTGGAGGGGGACCAGCCACGGCTGCAGATGGGGCGGCAGGCTAAGACCTAGGTCTCCCAGCAAGGTACACCGAGGAGGAGGGGGCGCGTGAGAGCCTTTGCAGCTGGTGGGAGGGGGCAGGGCCCTGCATTGAAGGGGTTAACTGTGAATGTGCTCACGTCCCGCCACTGCCAAGCTGCGCCACCTTGATCTAGTTATTCAAAGCCCCAAACATCAGGTTTTCCTCTCCACAGTGGGGTTGTGCAATACGTTCAATAAGACATTGCCCGTGAAAAAGGCAGTCCAGTTGTCCCTCAGTGTCCACAGCCTCTCGCAGATCTCGACGTCCCCGGGTGCTCCAGTGCCTTCGATAAAACGGTGTAGTGTGTGCACATAACCTACGCACGTCCTCCCATAGACTTCACATCCCTCTAGATTACTTATGCTACCTAATACGATAGAAATCTCATGTAAGTAGTTGTTTCACTATGAATATATTATTTAGGGAAGAATGACAAGAAAAAAGTCCATACACGTTCAATACAGACACAATTTTTTTCCTAAATATTTTCTGTCCATGGTTGGTTGAATCCACAGGTGTAGAACCCACAGATACAGGGGCTGCCTGCGTAGCGCCTGGCACAGAGGCAGCGCTGAAAAAGAGTTGCTGCTGTTATTATTATTAATAATGATATTGTTTTCCTGACTTGGACCCAAGCAGACTGCAGTAGAGTGGGAGGGGAAGGGTGAAACCCAGCTCTCTAAGGGGTGCCAGGTAGGTCAGGTGGGGTGATGGCGGGGGTGGCCTGAGGCCTGATTCCTGCCCACCCCGCCCCTCAGCTGCACCCCCTGGGCAGGAGCAGCCAGCTTGGGCAGGACCGTGGGGCCTGAGGCTCTCAGGGGCCGTCTCGCCGGGATGGAGGGTGACAGTGGTGGGGCCCATGAGGCCTTCTACTAGACTTCTAACGGTATCTCCAAATGAAGTTGCATGCACAATCACAGAAAGACATCCCCTGAGAAGATGACACACCATGGTCAGCTTGGGCCCTTCTGCTAGACCACGCCACTCCCGGTGACTGTGAGGTGACATCCATCATGTTGCCCTGTCGGTGCCTGTCCGTGAGTGCGGTACCCGACACATGGGTGTTGTAAAAATGACAGCCGTCAGAGGAGACCACACGGTGCTAATTCTGCTTTGCCCTGTGCTCATCTTTCCTGCTACCAGAAGTGATTTGATGTCTTATGGGGTTGAAGACAGCCGAATGGACTTCTGAGGCTGGGTCCCCACTGCCCTACAGCGGTCCCCACTCCCATGCTGCCTCCGGTGTCCCAGAGCTCGCTCCTTCCTGGAGCAGCCTGTGCCATCTCTCAGTAGTTGGGAAGCTCGGACTCTGGATCTGACGCCCTGACTTCGCGTCCAGGCTCTGCCATGCACTGTCTGTGTGGCCTTGGGCAAGCCTCGTAACCTCTCGGAGCCTCGGTTGCCTCCTAGGCCGAGGATTCAGTGAGGTGATCTGTGTAACATTTGCAGCGGTGTCTGGCACGTGTAAATGTTAGCCACGTTTTAGCCTTGAAAGGCTCATGCCCCGTAACATTGACCCATCGGTCCCAGTCTTGCTCCCGAGTCAGGCCCAGGCCAGCCTGCGGTGGGAGTAAAGGTCGGTGCTTGGTGCCCCCGTCCCTTCCCCCCAGGCCAGGGCTGAGGAGGGAATGAGTCATGAAGGACACTTCAGCTGCAGATTGACCTCCTGGACTTGCAGTCTGAGCAGCAGGGGCCACCAGCATGTGACGTGTCCGGAGGTGCGTCTGTCTCGCCTGTCCGCCCAGAAAACTGAGGCTCTGACATGTGAGGTCTCTGGCCATGGGCCAGATGAGTAAGTGCTAAAGGCGTCATTTAAACTCAAGCCTTCTTGGCTCCGAGCATCTAGAAGACAGAGCCCCCGATCTTGCTCTCTGGGCTGCGGCTCCCACAGTGGGCCCAGCAGGGAGGGTCAGAGCCTCCCCTGGGGAGCCGGCTGCCCACAGCGCTCCTGAGGAGCCGGAGGCCCAAGCCGGGGCTGGGGAGGGCCCGATCATGAGCCCGGCTCCTGGCCCGGGGCATGTTATCAGCGGGTCCAGAGGGCAAGGTGAGGAGCAGGGGAGGGGGACACAAAGGCCTTGGGCTCAGAGCAGCCTTTGCCCTTCTCCCACCAACCCCTGCCCTCCTGGACAGAAGCCCGGAGAGGGAGGTGCTGGGGAGGGCTGTGCGAGCGCCACCGTGTCGCCTGCCTGCACAGCCCTGCTCGCTGTCCTTCTGTGTCTTCACTCTAGACGCCCCCACCCCACCTACTGACTTGTTCTCAAGTCTAAAGAAGTCCTCAGCCCCCTCCAGGCTGGTTTCAGGGCTTGGGGGTGGCAGAGGGAGGGGCCTGAACACTCAAGTGAGAGGGGCCGAGATGGGCCCAAGGCCCCTGAGCCCTCCCCCACCTCACCAGCCTCTCCCTGGGGAGCCAGTCTGCTGGGAAGGAGTGGGGTCTCCCCAGGCCCACCCCCAGTTCCTGAGCCCCCCTGGGCTGCGGAGGTGGCAGGAGAGCTGTGTGGGCACAGCCTCCCAGGGATTTCCCAACTCTGCCGACAGCTGGCTGCGTCTGGCCACTCTGCCTCAGGCCTTGGTCTGCGCTGGTTAGCAGGCGACCTTTGCCCGGTTCACTGGGCTCTCAGTGCCCACTGCCCTGGGGACAATATAAAACAGGTCAGAAACCTCCTGCCTGTCTGCTCAGTTCATCCCCCGAAGCAGCTGCTCCAGGTAATGCCCCTGGGGAGGGATGAGGAGGGAGGACCATGCAGAGACAGAGGCCCCAGGCCGAGCCCCCAGGCTTGCAGAGAGCTTGCCAGAATCTCGAAGCCTCAGGGCCCGAAGAACGGTCCTCACTGTAGACTGGGGCAAATGGAGGCCCAGGAGGGGAAGTCACTTGCCCAGAGCTACATAGAGGCAGGACTGGCACCGGCTCTGAGTCTGCAGCTGCCCCTCCCTCTGTGCACTTGGGGCTGGAAGAAGCCGTAGACAGCCCGGTCCTACCCTACATAGGAAAACTGAGGCCTGGGGAAGGGCAGAGATCTGCCCAAAGTCACACAGCATGTTAGTGTCAGAGACCGGGCCAGGCCCCAGGTGCCTTGACTCCAGGTCTGGTGGGTTTTCTGCTCCATCCTGCCCCATCCCTCAGAGCCTGCCCCCCCACCTCAGTCCCCTATCTGAGGGCCATGGACCCAGCTCAGGTTCCAGCTTAAGGGGCGTACCACTTCCCCAGGGAGGGGTCCGGAGGCGGGGGACTTGGGCTGCCCCTCACAGGACACTTGCACGCAGGAACGGAGGTGCCATGCAGCCCCGGGTGCTCCTCGTTGCTGCCCTCCTGGCGCTCCTGGCCTCTGCTCGTAAGCACTTTGTGGGGACTGGGTCAGGGGCAGGGTGGGAGGTGGTTTGGGGAACCCCAACCCTGGGGGGGTGGCTGGGCAGGAGCCAAGGACTCGCCCCAGAGGCTGATCCACCCCTGCTCAGCCCTGCTCTCCCCGCAGGAGCTGAGGAGGCCGGGGAAGCCTCCCTGCTGGGCGTCATGCAAGGCTACGTGCAGCGGGCCACCAAGACTGCCCAGGAAGCACTGACCAGTGTGCAGGAGTCCCACATGGCCCAGCAGGCCAGGTATGCCCACCAGCCCTCCTTCCCCGTCCTCTGTGCCGGCTACCTCAGTCCCCAGCTGCCCCTGCCCTGGCAAGAGTCTGGTAACGGGACTGTGGTGCTCCCAGCCTACCCAGGGCTGTGGCTCTCTGGGCCGCACGTGCCCTCGCAGGGCCTGTCTCCCCAGTGCAGCCCGCAGCGACCACTTTAGCCCTCGCCGCCACTTCCTTTTCTGGTAGACGGGCTGGAAGTTTGCCGTGGGAGGCCCCACCTGATCCCATTTAACCCCAGGGTGTGGGAGTGTGTCTCTGTCTTGTTCCAAGATCTGGGGCCAGTGTGAGCAGAAGTCTGTCCTTCCTTTGCCACGCTACCCCTACCTCCTAGTCCTCTCCTCTCCCGCACTCCCGTCCCCACCTCCACTCGCTGGCGTTGGTCGGCATTGATGTGGCACAGACGTTCACAAATGTTTAGTCCTCAGAACTGACTGTGGAGTGGGTATTATTTTCCCAATTTGCAGATGAGAAAATTGAGGCTCAGAGAGGTTAGGTGACCTTCCCCAGATCACACAGCTAACCAATCCTCCAATGACTTTCCAAAGGAGAGAGTGCCTCCCTCTGCCCCACCCTGCTCAGAGCCACCAGGTTGTACAACTCCAGGGGGAGCCATTTGCATAGACTACAATGATGGCCCTGACTGTGCACATCTCCCTACTCAGTCACTGTGTGCCTCAGGCCTGCAGGGGCACAAAGGTCTGACCCGACCTGTGCCGAGGTCCCTTCACCACCCTCAGCATTTCTTCTGCCTGGGGTGGCAGCTGTAGGTGACTCCTGCCTGAGGTCTCAGGAGCCTTACTGGGTGAGGTTGACAAGATGGTGGGAGAGCCTGTGGGGACATGGGCAGGGGGCTCCATGGTTGCCACGCCTACAGAAGAGCTGTCACACCCACTTCTGTCACTTCCTCTTACTGATTCAACCCCCAGGGGCTGGATGACCGGTGGCCTAAGCTCCCTGAAAGAGTACTGGAGCACCATGAAGGACAAGTTCTCTGGATTCTGGGATTCCATCCCCGAGGTGGCATCGACTCTGGCCCCTTGAGACCTTCTGAGACCTCGACACCCCAAGCCCACCTGCCCGTCCATCTTGCCAGCTCCAGGGCTGGCCTCGTAGTTTGCTTGAAAGGGACAGTATTCTCAGTGCCCTGCCCTGCCCCTGCCCCAGGCCTGGCCACCTCCAGGCATGCTGTCCTCCCAATAAAGCTGGGTGAGAAGCTGCTGTGAGTGGGACATGCCACGTGTGCCATCTGTGTTTGGGCCTGGGAACGGGCTGAGGCTGTTCTGCGGCTGGGGCACCGGGCTGACGCCAGCTTGGGCAAGCCCGGGGCCCTGTGCCCTGCCCCCTTCTCAGTAGCTGGGTGGTCTCTGGTCCAAATTTCTTCATATGTTAAGGTGGGAATAACCCTACGTACCTTGCCTGCCTTGGCACGTCTGTATGGAATATCAATAAGTTTGACAATACTTTGATAAACTGTCAAGTGCTGTCCAATGTGACCTGAGTGTGTGCACTATGCCTGGCACTTTATGTCATCATCAGCGTTGAGATTGTGTGTGTTCAACAAAACCGCAGAGCTCATTCCAGGACCCAGGCCGCCTGGCCCTCCTAAGCACACTTGAGGGAAGGAGTCCGGGCGGGGTAGTCATTGGCATAAGATGCAAGCAACTAGGTGCTAGTGTGGGCTCCACCACTGTATATCGGCCTCAGTTTCTTATCTGTAAAGTGGGTACAATTATAGCCCCTCCACAAGAAGTTTATTGTGAGAATGAAATGAGACAGTGTTTAAAAACGTTTGGCAAGACACCTGCAAGTCAAAGGTGCCAGGTAAATGGTTGCTGATTGGCCCCTTGGGACCAGGATTGGAGTTGGGGGGCAGTGTCCTGGGAACCAACAAAGAACATGAGGTCACCCCAACAGAGGTTGCTTTCCTTGTGTTCCCTCCACCCAACAGATGTCACATCTGAGAGCTCCAGAACCACAGATGGCTTGAGCAGGCCTCCACTCTTCAGATGAAAACATTGAGGCTCAGAGAGGTGAAGGCACTTGCCGAGTGTCACAGAGCCAGCAAATGGCAGGGCCAGACCTCGAGCCCAGGTCAGCTGCCCATACTCTGCTCAGTTGGCACAGATAAAGGCTTTGTCACTCCTGCGTTGGGGGTCTGGTCTCCTTTACAGATCCTGGTGGCTTTGGTATGTCCAGCCCCACCTGGAGACTGCTTTCTCTGGAAATCCACCTGGGCCTCTCTCTCTCGGCCCAAAAAGAGCCAGGGACCTCAGCACTCACACCTGGAAAGTGTTGCCACCAAGTCTGGCTGGACGCCTGTTGCTGTAGCTCTGGACAGTTAGGAACTAAAAAGCCCACTCCCTTATCCAGGGGTCTGGAAAGACACACTGGAGATGGAGAAGGACAGTCTCTCCAGAGGCCTGCGTGAGGGGCCCAGAGGTCCTGGGGGGAGAGTGTCAGGAAAGTTCTATGGGTGTACGGCCAGGTCTGCGAACCCACATGCATGTACGCGGAGACATTCAGACATGAGTGTGAGAGGGGCCAGCCGTGAGCAGGGAGGTAACTTGAGAACGTGCAGGCGTGTGTGCACACTCCTATGAACTTGAGTGCTGCGCACTTATTAAAAATAATCATGGCTGCCCATGATTCAGACCTCCCAGAAGGTCTGAAAAGGACAGCCTGGCCCATCCTGCTAGTCACTGGGTGAGTGACTCACGACCTCTGCAAGCTTCAGCTTCCTCAGTCGTGCCTGGGATCTGATGGCAATCTACCCAGGATGCCAGCAAGGAAGGGTGCAGTGAGACGATGGGTATGAGAGCATCTTGTGAATAAAAATGAGCTAATTACCTGAAAGACGTTGTGGTTATTTTTCTGCCTGGGGCCAGAGCTGGCAGAAAAGGGGGTGGCAGCACGTGCAGCCACGGGGGGCAGGTTGGCTGGCTTCCGCGGCTGTGCCTGAGGAAGCTGCGTCTGTTTCTGGGTAGGGTGGGAGCAGTAGGAGGGGATACTGGCTTTGTGAAAAGAGAAGGGGAGTGTTTGCTTGAGAGTTTTTTGAAATAAAGGAGGGCAGATCAAGCTTCAAGGCTCCATCTACACCTGGCCAGACCCTTCAAGTCACATCCAGTGGCTCCTTGAGGAGCCTGCCCCACCCTGCTGAGAGCCAGAGAGCTGCAGGAGGTTCCTGTCCTCTGCCTAGGTGGACACCTCTATGTGCCCAGCTCCCTTATGGTGACACCTCTGGGGACAGGGTAACCCACTGCTCCCAGCAAAGGCAACCCTGTTTCCTGACCCTCCTCGGGGCTGCAGGACTTGTTTGAGCCTCTTTCAGGGCACCTGGCACTGGACTGTCGTTTTGCCTGGTCCTCTGACTTTCCTCCTTGAGCCTTGTTAGGGCAGGGACTCCACTCCCTCCCTCCTAACCAGCCAGGTGCCCAGCAGATCCTCCAACACCGATTAAGGCCCTCGAAAGACCATGGAGGGGGCCATCGGGGATCGGAGTCGCTGAGCTCAGGCAGGAAGTCCCTGCTCCGAGGTCCCCTGGAGGTCCCCTTGAGCACCCCGTACCCCGTCTCCACCCCACCCAAAGAAAGAATCTGCTTCCCACTTTGGAAACATTTATTCTGACAACCCGAACGCCGGCGAAGGGAGCGGGCGCCTCACTGGGGGTTCAGCTTCTTGGTGGCCTCGTCCAGGGCGCTCAGGAAGCCGACCCTTAAGCTCTCCAGCACGGGCAGCAGGCCCTGGCGCAGGTCCTCGAGCGCCGGCTTGGCCTTCTCGCTGAGCTCGCTCAGCTGCTGGCTGGCCTTGGCGTGGTACTCGGCCAGGCTGTCGGTGCCCTCCTTGAGCGCCTCGAGGCGCGCGGCCAGGCGCTGGCGCAGGTCTTCGCTGTAGGGCGCCAGCTGCGCGCGCAGCGCGTCCACGTGGGTGCGCGCGCGGTCGCGCAGCTGCTCGCCCAGCGGGCTCAGCTTCTCCTGCAGCTCCTGCAGCTTCTGGTGCGCGCCCTCGCGCAGCTCCCTGCCCAGCGGCTCCACCTTCTGGCGGTAGCGCTCCAAGTCCTCCTGCCACTTCTTCTGGAATTCGTCCAGGTAGGGCTGCACCTTCTTCTTCACCTCCTCCAGATCCTTGTTCATCTCCTGCCTCAGCCCCTCTGTCTGCTTGTCCAGGTTATCCCAGAAATCCTGGGTCATCGGGCCCAGGTCTTCGCGCAGCTTGGCGACGGTGGAGCTCACGCTGTCCCAGTTTTCCAGGAGTTTCAGGCTGGAGGAGGAGAGAGAGGGGCTGAGGGTTGGCCTCCCAGGCCCCCTGGCTTGCCCTGGAGCGACAAACCCAGCACCGCAGCCGTCCTGGGATGAGCTCTGGGCATCACCTGCCCCCCAAAGTGCAGTAGCTATGGGCCTGGCCTTTCTTGTGCACCCTCACCCAGTACCCCTGCCCGCCCCCCACCATGGCCCATTGTGCAGATGGATTGAGGCACAGAGAAGAGCTGGAAGGAGACAGAGCTGGGATTGGTGCCTGGTTTTGCCTGTCCTCAAAGCTGGGCCCTTGAAGGACCTAGCCTCTATGCTTCCAGTCCATTCTCTCTGAAGACAGCCATCACTCTTGCTGGGCGAGCAGAGGTGGTTAAGAAGGGGACGGGGCTTGCTGCACTTGCAGGCAGAATGTGGTGTTGTGGTTACTGATCAGGCAGCACTGGTCTGTCCCTTGCGGAGAGATGTGTATGACCCTGCCCGGGGATCCCATTCCAGTTTCTCCATCCAGACCTCAGTGGGGCCCAACTCATCCAATAGGAGGTGAGGATTCAGCCAGTCCGGTTACATCTTCCCACAGGCCTCTCTGCCCCCTGGGACCAGTAGCCCCTACCCCTGCCCCAGACCCCAGGCTGGGTCCTTACTTTAGGTGTTTTGCCAAGGCGGAGGCTTCAAACTGGGACACATATTCTCTGCCGTTCTCTCTGACTGCGTCCACGTACACAGTGGCCAAATCCTTCACTCGATCCCAGGGGGACTGGGGCTCATCTTGCTGCCAGAAATGCCGAGCCTGGCTCCCTGGGGGTGGGAGGGGAGACCTAGATCAGGCCAGCTCTGGGTCGGGATCTGAGCCAAAATGCCAGGCTTGGAGGCAGGGGAGGGGGGCTAATGAGAAATTCTGCTCCCTGTGCCCAGGAGGGTGGACCACAGGGGTCTAGGGAGAAGGCCCCCCATGGTTTGCTTCCCTAGGTTGGGGGTACCTACCCGTCAAGAAGAGCACGGCCAAGGTCAGCACCACAGCTTTCATCTTGCAGGGGCGTGGGTGACCTGGAGGAGAAGAGGGGCCTAAGTGGGGGTCCTCTAGGGTGCAGGAGCAGCCAGGGGAGGAGGGGGCACAGCATGGGAGAAGGCCTCATGTCCCCAGAGCTCCGGCCTGGGACAGAGCCTGAGCTTCAGATGCCTAGGGCTGGGGACCCCGAGTGACCCGGGCCAGGCAGCAGGACTTACCTCCCTCCCGCAGCGTCTGAGCACTGGCTCTCCAACGCCCTATTTATGTCTCTGGCCAGGGGCTGGGCTGGGACGCTGATAAGCCCAGCCTGGCCCCTGTTGCTGCTCACTGGTTCTGGCGATGTGGAACTTAGAGTTCAAGGATCAGCCTTGTCCCTGGCGCCGGGCAAATAGAGTGGGCAAACAGGAAGCTGCGGGGGCTGCAGGGCAGGGATCAAGGGTTCGGGTGGGGGGTGGAGGGAGTGGTCGCAGGTCCCTAGGGTGGGGGTTACCTGTACGCATCCCCTGCCCCTCCATGCGAGCCTGTGGGAGGTGCCATTGTCCATGTGCAGCAAGAGGAGAGGAGGGGAGGGACACTCCTCCACCCAGGAGACCTCCTCCCCCACATCTGCTTGCATTCCAGGAGATTGTTTCGTGCCCCTCACCCCCGTCCCCTCCTCCCACCAACACCCTTCTGTAGTCCCCGGCAGCTGCTGCACACCTCTGCCAGCCCTCTGCAGGCCTCCCAAACCACAGGGAACCTGGGTGCTCAGGACTTGCCTGGGGAGAGGGGAGGGCGGCTCAGCGGCCCCCACACTGAGTTTCCAGAGACCTCTCACATCTCTAGGGACCAACTTGGAATTGCCAGCTTTTAATTTAGTTATACAAAGATACTACCTTCTATGCCCCGTCTGAAAAAAACCTCACCATTTACCTTGACCATCACTTGAGGAAAGGAAAGACTTTTTTAACACCAAAAAAGCATAATCTCAGAATCAAATCACAGAACTCATGTCACTTGAATTGAAGATGTGTACCTTTGCCTTGTTCGTATTGCCCCTCGATCACACACAGGTGAGAATGGATGCTAGCCCTCAGGAACCCCTGGGGTGCGGGGAAGCCCCTGGACAGGGAGGTGGCAGGAGACCTGGCCTCTCAGGAGGAAGATCGCAGGCAAGTTCTGTGATCTCTCTGGGCCTCAGTTTCCTATCTGCAAAATGGGGCCAAGCATGGTCACGGTTGTTGGAATCTCCCAGGAGCCTGTGAACGTCAAGTTCCGGACATTGGTTGGTGTTTGCAGCACCACCTTGTAAGGTTCCTCCTGGAAGGCCCAGAGCTCCCACAGCCGGTCACCGACAGGACCTGGGTCGCAGGGCCTGTGAACGTGCAAGCCAAGAGGGGCTGTCAGGTCACTCCAGCCTCCTCCCGCCCCCATCTCTCAGACGAGGAGATTGCAGAGAGCGGAGGGAATTTGCTCAACGTCTCTCATGTCTCAGGAAGTTAGAAGCAGGGCTGGGTCTAGAACCTGGGTCTCTGGACTTAGGACCCAGAGCAGAAATATGCCCTGTACCATCTCCCTAGGAAACTCCCTAACGCTCTGGAACCCAAGCCTGGCATCTCTGTCTGCCAGATCGAGGAGTGGCTGGTCTCATGCCTTTCGCTTCAGAGGCCTTGGAGCCAGAAAACCTTGGGTTTGAATTCCAGCTCTGCCACTTACTAGCTGTTTGACCTTGGACACGTTACATAACCTCCCCACACCTGTTTCTTATCTCTTAAATAAAGATAATGGTAGAACATGCCATCTCCCTGAGTTAGAGTAGGAGTTACTGTGTGATAGGCAGAATAACGGCCCCCCAAAGATATCCGTGTCCTAATCCCTGGAACCTGTGACTGTCACCTTACATGGCGAAGGGAATCTTGCAAATGTATGGGCCCTGAGATGGGGTGGCTAGCCAGGACCATCCCGGCAGGCCCACTGCAATGACAAGGGGCCTTAAATACACAAGAGGAAGGCAGCGGAGTCACAGCAGGAGATGTGAGGGTGGCAGCAGGGGTCAGAGTGATGTGGCTGCTGGAGGGGACCATGAGCCAAGGGATGAGGGCAGCGCCACCCCCCAAAGTTGGAAAAGGCAAAGGAATGGATTTTCCCCTAGAGACCTGCACGGCTCTGCTGACACCATGATTTTAGCTTAGTGTGACCCATTTTTGGATGTCTGACTTCCAGAACTGTAAGATAATAAATTTATGTTGTTTTAAGCATGAAATTTTAACAGGTATGCACAACCATTAGAAAGATATCTATCACATAGTAAATAGTAACTATTCTGTGTCCCAAATCCTGGTTTCTGGTATTTTCTCCCATATGTATCTCCCCTGTCCCCTGTTCTAGCCACGGGCACACTTGCTTTGTCAGACCATACCCCCAGCCCTTAGCTTCTGGCAGAAGCAGACAAGGCAGAGACCCCGCAGTTCTCTGCTTGGCCTTGACTTGCAGATACTGAGATGTGGGGACATCTTTTCCGTGACTGAACCAGCCCCAGAAGTCTGTGGGACCGTGCAGAGGAGGCGGCTTCGGTGAGCAGTCAGCCTGGCTGCCACTTGGCCATCCCAGTTGTCTGTGGGGGCAGCTCAGAGGTATCTCAAGCCAAGAGATATTCCTTTCTTACATGGGTAGAGCTTGTCCCAGCCAGCACGTGGGGGATCTCAGCAGCTTAACAATGGGACTCCAAGCTACTTTGCCACAGTTCTGCCCTTTTCATTTGTTTATTACTGAAATGATTATTATGGCTTAGCCTCATATCTAACATTTGCACAATTCTTTAGTAGCCAAAGCACTTTCACAACTAACTTAGTATGTCCCTGTAAGGCTGGAGGCCAGATTTTACCCTTGTTGTTTTGCCTGTGGGAAAAGTGCAGCTCAGAGCTGCTAAGAGCTGCCCTGCATCCTTCAGCTGTTAGTATAATAGCGCTGGCAGGGCTGGGAATCTGGCTTCTGGTTCTTTGATGGTGGCCTGTTGGCCAACAGCAACAGAGCCGCTGGCACCCATCACTCACAGCCCTGGTACTCTGCTCAGAGACCTCTCAAGTTTCCTGGCTCAGGGATTCCAGGGCACTGGGATAGGGGGTGCTGTTTGACAGCATCTTACCAAGCAGGATGTTTCCTTGTTTTCATATTCTTATTTACTAGTGTGTCTTCTCCATTTCATTGCAAGATGTTTGGCTTAAACTAGACCAAGCCCCACTTTACCAATATCTCAGAAAGGAAGGAGGTCTTTCTGGACAGAGGCCTATGGGAAAACAAACAACCAACTGGGTTCATCACAGACTCGGGTCCAGCCAGACATTGTTAGAGGTGTTGGTGTCCAGGGATTGAACTAGCTGTTCAGTGGATGTGGGGCCCACCAACGTAGGCCCTTACTCCCACCCTTTCTCCCCCTAATCTTGCGTCTCCAGAGCCACTGTTTCTGAACTGGGTCACCAAGCGCTGGCCCTGGGTCCCCTCACACGTGCGAGTGCTGGCAGCTGCTGCAGGAGTGGATTTTGATGGGAATGATTAGCGGCTCCTTTCACTATTTATGTCCCAACAGACTGATCGGTCTGCATGGAGTGGACTCTGTCCCATTAGGCCTGGCACACAGCAGACACTCACCAAATATCTGCTCAATGACAGTGGCACACTAAAGGAAGGGTCACCAGTCTAGTAAAGGGTCTTAGGGAGGAGCGGGCCTTGGGAGGGGACTCAGCCTTGCACCAGCCCCTGCTCAGAACATTTCCTCTGGGCCAGGATGGGAGAGCGGGGTGGAGGAGGTGCAGGCTGAGCAGGGGAGAGAGGACCTCCCCTCAGTACTTCCTGATTGGCAATTTTGTTGCAACTCTTATAGCACAGGGAATTGTAACCACCTATGCAAGATTCTCTCCTGCCCTCCTGCTTAGGAGACTAAGGCCAAGACAGAGCTCATCTTTGACCAGCACAGGTAGCCCGGCAGCCCTCTGACCTCTGACCTTTGCAGCTAGAGCAGGGTGGGGGCTCACACACAGTCAGGAAGATGCTGCATAAGGAGCTGCCAGCATGGCTTATTTCTAGAGCCCAGAGATCTCCAGGTCTGTCCCAGGAGACAGTGCCGTTTCCTCCAGAGGCTTGCTCTAACTCTAGCCCAAAGGCACCCTGGCTGGCTTCAGGAGGGAGTGGCACCTGCTGCAAAAGGCGGTACAAGTTGTTGGAAGGCATCTGCGTGCTGTCACTGGTTCCAGAGACTCACCTAGCTTCGCATGGGAGTGTGTACAGACTCAGGATTTCTAGAAGACCCTTTTTGAGAAGGCTCTTTGCTGTTCTAAACAGCCCCACAGTGACTTTCTGGTCCCCCAGGGGCTGGAAAGCTTTTATAAATTCCTTCCTTTCAGTTTTTTCTACAAACTCAGTGTTTCCAGTGTTGGTAAGCTTTCTTCATAGAAGAACCTCAACCAGCTATCGCTTAGCCATGCTTGGGACCCTGCTGGAAATTCTACCCCGTCCTTTGGAGTCCAGTTGTAAAAAAAGGGGAAAACTATAGGAAAAGTCCCCTTCCTCTCCTAACACTCATTTGGCTTTCGTATCACTAGCCCATTGTGGTCACCTCATAAAGGTTCCAGCCTGTGCCAACTCTTTGAGATCTCCTTCTCTCTACTCCTTCAAAAGTACCCTTTCAAGGAATCTGTTTTTCATGCAACTCAGCAAACTCAAATGCTCCCTTCTAAGGGTGCAGAGTCCAAGCTAGGTTCCTGGGGACACAGCGTGAAGCTGAGTTCAGGCTTCTAGAGAATGCTGGTTTCATACCGTGAGGTGAGATAATGAATCACTCAAAGCCCCACCCTAAGCTTGGGACACTTCTCCAGCCTCCAGCGTTCCAGCTTCCACCCACCTGGATGCTTCTCCCAACTAGACTCTGAACCACAAGGCAAATACTACACCAGCATAAGAACATGATCAGATTTTTGTTTTCACAACCTCCTGCTGTCCAAATAAGTCACTAAGTTGTAAGTGCCCTACCAAAAAAAGGACAAAAGGTCTTGAAGCAATTTGAATCTGGAGATTTTTTTTTAA